GCTGCCAATCTAGTACTGAGCTTAGATTCATAAACTCTGGGTACCATAGAGTGATTTCATGAGAACAATGAACATGAAAGTATTTCTAGAAAAGGCACAGGCAAGCTACATTACAGCAGTGGGAAAGGGACTAAAGCTTAGATGCCAGGTCAGGACCAATAACATTGCAGATTCTTATTTGGATTTTGTCAAGAATCTCTAAATATATAGCAGGATCACCCAAGAGAGATAGGGTGTATCAAAAATACATTTACAAACTTTGGGGGTGGATTACTCACACCTGAACAACAACAAAAGTCCATATAAACACATCTCTGCAAATCCTTCATTTTTTAATTAAGTTTAAAGTAAGTTTACAGTAGATGGCACTGTGTTGCATTGTAGACTAGGTTACGTTTGTCATTCATGTACATTTGTGGCTAGTCTGTCTTCAATGTTTAATGTATGAAGTAGGGAGTTAACTGAGAAGTTCTCCATTTAATAATGGCGCGATATTCATATCATGATTGGGCAGATATGATTTTCACATACTGATGCATGAATGGTAATGGACACAAGTCTGCATGGCTGTATTAGATTGCATTTTCAGGCTGAAGGCAGCCGAGTCATCCAATTTTTGCTGCTGTGTATTATCACATTGCTGAAACAGAATCCGTGGCACCACAAACTATAGATCAAGGAAGACCAAGATCCGCTCATATGCCTAACCATAAAGAACACATTCTACAGGCTGTTGGAGTCAATCCAGTCAACAGCATATGTCAAGTAGCCCTAGAATGTACATGGAGGATACTTCAAGAGCAACTCCTGTATCCATATCATTTGTAACATGTGCAGGGCCTTTTGCCCTCTGATCACTTACCATGAGAGAAATTTTGCCAGTGGAAAAAGTTTTTGCACAAACTGCTGATCCATTGTTTGTCTCTTCAGTTTTGTTTACAGATATGGCAAAATTTGGAAAAGATGGAATAATAAATTTATACTGCCTGGTAGATCCATATGTTCTCCCAGCACATCTTACAGGAGCTTTCAACAGGGACTTTATTTCGAACACACTTCTAAACCTGCTAGAGGATGTACCCCTGCTAATATGAAGACTCATGTGGTTCATGCATAATGGGGCTCCAGCAGATTTTAGTCACATTGTTCATGATGTACTGGCTGACCTCTACCATAAACAATGGATACATAGGGGAAGACTGAGAGTCCTACATATTCCCTTGACCTCAATCCTTTGGATTTTTATCTGTGATGCCACCTAAAACAAATGGTTTATGCAGCAGACATTAATAGTGAAGAGATGTTTCATCAACGTGTCATAGAGTCTGTGAAATCATTCAACACCGAAGTATTTGAAAGAGTCAGCTAAGTAAATGATCCGACAAGTGCATGCACGTGTAGAAACAAGCAGAACATTTGTTATGAGTTGCTGTGTTGAGGTACAATGGTGTTCTTTTGGACATATGCTTGTATGGACATTCTCCCTTGTTTTGGTGTCAGGAAACCACCCCCAAAGTTTTTTAGAAGTATTTTTGATACACCCTGTATATATTGAAGGTTTTAATGACATATGTATATTTCTCAAATTACATATCTGAACATAGATAAATGTCGTGACACATGCCAGAGTGTCTAGCTGTAGCTTTCAGGCAGAAGTTTCACTGTCCAATTATTTTCATTTGATTAATCTTGTCCTATCTGCTTGTATACCTTATTGCCACCCCCCCTCTTTTTCCATTTTACTTTCCCCAGGTCATAATTTCATCCTTGATGGATATAATCTTTTGAATTCCTTCTTTAGCATTTTCATGATTTTGCTAATAAACCAAAATCCAGACCAAAAGAAAATTTTAATTTATGCCACATTTTCTGTATTTTCCTATGAAATTGCTCTTCAATCACACCTGAGATTAAAAAAATATATAAATATATATGCGTAATATATACTCTTTTTTTTTTTTTTTTTTTTTTTTTTTTTTAAATCATTTCTTCTGAAATGTCAATGATTAACCTTATCAAGGTATTTCACAGAATAATCAATGTCGATGATGTGAACACATTTAGAAATTGTAAATGGATAGCTGACATTATCTACAAATCTGAAATCCATTAAGTCTCTTCAGAGTTTATAGAATGTGTATTCAGTCGGACATTCTGCAAACTTAAAATTGTCATCTACTTGCCTCTGGAAATGTGTAAACTATCATCTCTATACAACCATTTTCGCAGATCAATAGTTTAAAAAGACTTTCAAGCATATGAATCCTTTTGGTCTTACAGAAGACTTCCTCAGATCTCATAGACTTCTACTAAACATTTACAAGGAAAGAACTGTAACAAATAACAGAAACCACATCATTTGAACACTTTTCAACAACAGCTCGAATTGATAATACATTTTTTTTTTTAAGTGTTTCACCCCAAACAAGGCGGGAAGCTACTAGGACACAAGGGGTTACAGAAGATTTGGAGCAAGATCAGATAGGAGTGATAGAGGAAAGGATAAGGAGGAGGATAGTGGATAGGTCAAGGCAACTGGAGATGTCGATTGACATTACATTTGAATAGTTGGAGATTATAGCTCTCAGGAAAACTGGAATAGGGAAGGGAGTTTCACAGGTGAGAGGTGAGAGATAAGAAGCTATTGGTGTAGAAGAGACGGCTACATTTAATAGTTTCAACAGTGAAAGGGTGAGAGCAGGATGCCAGCCTCGTCGGGCACTTGAATTCATGAAGTCTGGGAACCAGCGAATGCAGCTCCTCGGAGCAATTACCATGAAAGTATTTGTAAAAAAGACAGAGAGAGGTAAATCAAAGAGAAGATAACCAAGATGTTGACATTCCACATTGCTTCATACAAAAGCTTAGGAATGAAACTACCATCTATACAAGGAAGAGTGATAACAGTGAACTTGAAAAGTTTTACTTTCCTGAAAACTGTTTTAATGGGAAGATTTTATAAATTTCAACCCACAATGATGCTAACTGTTTAGTCAATGAGTGCCAAATATTTCCTAATAAGGAAGTGGTTGCCATTGCCAAGGGAGATAATCTTGGTTTCTTTGTAGAAGCTAACTTGAAAATGATTAAAATCAAGTAGCGATAAAGAATAAATTTCACCCAGAAATGTTAAAATAGTAAAAGAACCTGCAAGGGGATACTTCCCTGATCACTACAAAACCTGACCTTTTCCAGTCATGGGTCAACCATTATCTGTCCATATCCTCATAATATGCAGCTGTTACTCCCTCCTTATATGTTCTTAAAACATCCCTATTCAGCAACCTTCAACCTTGAGTGGCACTTAGGTCTTGTATTGAGGAAACAATATTAATAAAAAAAATAAAAATGAGATATTGTCTCTGGTTTCTCGTGTTATCAGCAATTTATCAGGCGCTAACACTCCATCACACTCTGAATGAGGAGCAATTTTCTTGGAGAAAGTAAGGAGGAGGCAGAGAGGTCAGATGTCAACATGTTGGCAAACTATCTCTCACCACATGGTGGCCTGTCTCACTAAGGCATTTATCTGTTCTATTCCTTTTTCATTCTCATTATAAAGACAATCCATCACTGTCAAGATTCTACACTCATGGACTCAAACCACTCCCATTTAGTTTTTTGGTCATCATAGTAGCAGTGTAAGATTTGATATTTAGTCCAACTTAGGCATTCTGTAACATTTTGCCCTATTTTATCTGACAAGTAAAAATCGCAGTAAATGCCAAAAAGTCCAAGAAAGCATCATTACACATGCTATATACACTTAACTTTTTTTTTTTTTATTATAATTTAAAAATTAACCTAACTTGTCTTAAAATTAAAAAAATAATATATGAATAAATAAATAAAAACAAAATACATCAAGATAGCATTGTGGAAAAAGCAATGCTTAGTATTTACAATTAAAACCTGGTGTTAAATCTTGCTAACTCAAATAAATGATCATTTACTGAGCTGTTATGTGACATCTGTCCTCCTTTATGACAGCAAATGTTGGATGATCTCCTCAAAGATGAAGAAGAGACTTGTGAAGGATGCTGGGGATATCATTGACCGAGCGTGTGAGCAACGATGAGGATGCTTATGCTTAACATAAGGAAGAGGCAGCTGAAATTTCTGGGACACGTAATGAGAAAGGAGGGCCTGGAGAATCTGATACTCACATGTTGAATAGGGGGAAAGCAATGCATGACATAGCTGGCAGGCTTAAGCAAGTGAATGACAGAACATGGTTGGGAGAGGTGGCACAGAGACAAAACTTATTGAGAGCTACAAGGGATATGGGAACTGGAGAGCCTTGATCGCCTACATCCTGAAAGGACATGGCATATAAAAAAGAAAGAAATGTTCTTTTTTGCCATGACTGTCAGCCAGTCTAAGAGAAGGAATACACTGAATTCATAAATAAGGAGGAAGCAACAGGAAATCACTCCCCACCCTTCCCAAAAAGTCATAGTGTTTCATAGATGTTAAAGAAAAGAAGCTTTGATAAGGCATATGTTACATAATGTGAAGACCAGGGCCAGAGAATTGTTAGTGATTGTCTGGAATGCCTTGTGGGCAGGGCATTCTGACAGTAATGGATTGCCTTTGTCTGAGTTTTTAATATAAGTTGAAAACTCAGTGAATTCAACAGAGGGTCTCAAGAATTCTGTAGTATTCGTACACCTCCTACACTCGGGTTAACAACCGGCTAATACCACCCATGGAAAGATGCCGAACCAACATGTGACTTGTTTTCCTGTAATGTCAGTCCTTCTACTGCTTTTTAGAATCCAAGCTGCTACTCTTACTAAAATGAATACGAAAAAGAAATGGTCCTTTTCATTGATATCATTTTATGTAGTAGTGTGGGAATCCCAAGACAACACAGAATGTAACACATGATTGCTTAAGTCCCGAAGAGACATGATGTTTGAAAAAATGTTTGTTTGTTTTTGTTTTTTTTAATTGCATTTTTAAGGGGTGTTATTTTTGACTTTTTACAATTGCATCACATTGAAACACTAGTTCCTGTATGATCACTGAAGTTAAGCAATGTTGAGCTAAGTCAGTACTTAGATGGGTGACTGCTTGGGAATACCAGATGCTCTAAGCTTGGGTGTTTGGGTAGTGTAATAGTTAATAGCTTGGAATTGTTAATCACAGAGCAGAATTCCAATCTCGATTGGGTTTGTTATATTCACTTACGTGCAAATAACCATGGAAAAGGTGAGAGTCAGTTTCTTCTTCTCCCAGCTACGAGTTAATTAGTAAGACTTGTATCACTAAACCATTAATAAGACTTGTATCACTAAACCATTAATAAGACTTGTATCACTAAACCATTAATAAGACTTGTATCACTAAACCATTAATAAGACTTGTATCACTAAACCATTAATAAGACTTGTATCACTAAACCATTAATAAGACTTGTATCACTAAACCATTAGTAAGACTTGTATCACTAAACCATTAGTAAGACTTGTATCACTAAACCATTATTAACTGCCTCTAAAAAAAATTTCTTACAAGCTAAAAATATTTTCTAGCTAGCCTTAAGCTGCAATGGATTGATAAGCTGTAAAAAATGGATTAATAAGTCAATATTATTGAGTGTGTGGATACAGTGTGTGTTGAGTATGCATATGCTTTGTCTTTAAATAAATGTGCAATCTACTTTCAGGACATGTGTAATCATGACTCTGCATAACATTTTGCTTTTTCTTGCATCCTTAAACTTGCTCTTTGTCTTTGTGGCATTCTTCTTCTCCCAGTTATGGGTTAAATAGTAGGGTAGACTGGGATCTCTAGCATTGGGGGCAAATAGTCTAAGAGAAGGAAAACTCGGAATTCAAAATGATGGAGAAACAATGGAAAGCCACTATTTTTTCCAAGATGTCTTGACAGATCATAGATAATAGATAAAAAAAAATCTGTGTATAGCCATGATTGCCTACGTCCTGAAAAAAAGATGACATTTAAAAGAGAAAAAGTCCATAAGTTATGCATAAAACATCCAGCATCACTGATAGAATTTTTGGCACTCGGAAAGTGCATAGCAATCAAAATTCACAGATATGAAATCAATGAAACTTTATAAACACTCAAACAATGCAACTGCAGAATAAGGCTTGAAGGAAGAATTCTTTTTGCATTATGACAATGCAAATTCCCAGTTGTTGCAGAAAAACCTCATAAATCTTTCTCTTAGCACCACCAGATTTTTGGTTGTTCTCAGATTTGAAAGAGGCATTGAAAGGTCAGCATTTTTTCATCTGATGCCAAATTTGGAGATGATGTGCACAATTGGATCAAAAGTATGAGGCAATGGTGAAAATTTTCCGGCCCACTTAGTAAAATTTGACCAAATCACTGAACATAAGAATTTCTTTGGCTTTTTTTTTTTTTTTTGGTTGAGCTGAGAACTTTTCATCATTGTAAACAAGAAATTTGGACAGAATGATAGGGAACATTTTGAAAAATTGTGTAGTACAAAAATGACTATTTAGAAAAATAAACTTGTAGTTTTTAAGGTACTTTAGCAAGGACTTTTATACAGTTTTATATTAGTTCATTTATCAACAAAAGAGTCAGTGTTGATATTCTCCACTACTTTGAACAAAAGGTTAGGAAGGAACCCCCCACACACACACGCATCAATACTGGAAAGATTGAAAAACATCTACCAGACAGGAGAAACCCATTTTCCTGAATAATTGTTTTAAGGGAAAGATTTTCTAAATTTGAACCTTTAGCAGTACAGGATGCTGGGTCGATGAGCGCTGAATGTTTCCTTATAAGGAAGTGGTTAATATTACCATTAACATAATGTGCAAGGTAGAAATATTGTATTTTGCCCGTGCTAAAGATTAACCCTCTTTCAAATATCACGCACTAATTTGCTCAGAAAAAAAGTTAAAGAAATTTTAATTTATCAAAGCCTTTCTTTCTTTTTTAGAAGCTTTTGTCTTCTTATATGTGCTATATCCCTGTGATCATGGCTCTCTACAACTTCCTATACTTTGTAAGTTTTAGTAATTTGTTTTTAATTTATTACTATCTCTCCCAGTTCCTGTTCTGTCATATATTTATAGAAGCTTATTAAGTAAATTACTCACTTTTTCCCTCTGTCCATCTGTGAGTGGCAATTATTCTTTATTATGTGTCCTAGAAATTTCAGATGTCTCTTTCTGACTCTAAGAATAAGTATCTTTTATGTTTCCCTTTTCGGTAAAACTTTCTCATTGATCATATGTTCTGGCGGTGGTATTTTCTGTAGAACCACACCTCTGTCATCGCAAGTCTCTTCTTCATCTGTGAGGAATTTGTCTAGAATTCATTGTCAGGAGAATTGATGCCAGTGTTGAGTCTTCAGAAGACCACTTCTAAGGGTACAGGTGCAGTTGAGAAAAAGGGTTGTGGATCAAATAAAAAAGAATCAGCTAGCCTTCTTGGATGTGCTAATAACTCACACAAAGAATTAGTTCAAGATATCTGTATATCAAAACCCAACCTTCACTGAACAATATTTCAGCTTCAATTCTCATCCAGTGCAAAAAAAGAGGAACTGTCTGATGCTTACAACACCATGCAAAAATCTGTAAGTTGTAACATCCAGTGTATGACGATAAACTACATTCGCGTCCAGGGTAAGACGATAAACTACGTCCAACATCAAGTCTTCTGATCAGGAGGCTTTGAGGAGAGTGGAACCACCTCTTAATTGCTGGTGTTCCCAGGTCCACCCTGACCCAGAGTGGTAGCACCTGTTATGGTCCCAGCTATGGGCAAATAGTCAATCACGAAGCTGAGATAAAAAGCATTATAAAAGTGTAAAAATAGGTTTTAATACCAGAAATAATTATAGTGAGATATTTATTTCTTTTGACTCTCTATTGATCAAAACACTTTTTAATTTTTTATCAACAACCTTCCTGATAGCAGTAGTTCTTAACTTGGTAATAGTTCTTAATTTGGTATTTATGCTGACAAAACAACTATTTATTATCTTAATGGTATGTCTGATAGGTTAGATAAAGTCAAATTGGCAGCTAATATGTCAGTGGTTCCCAACTGATTTTGGGCCATGCCCCACTTCGGTATTTCTAAAATTCTGGTGCCCCCCCCACCTTCTAATATTTAATTCTTACATGTATGCCATTTATCCATGTACGTACATACAAGCAAAATATTTTTATGTATGCAGACTGTATATGCATCATATGTAGTAACATGCATTAACATTAACAGTCTCACTTAAACTCACTAGAAAACAATTCACTGTTAGTAACTCGTATACTTGGTATAGTAAACTGAAAGGTGCACATCCTACACATGCCCCACTGTTAGGACCAACGCCTTTATCCACTGTGCTATGAAGAAGGCCGGAACGTACAACGGCCGAAACGTTGTGATAAATATGGCGACAAAGATGAGGACAATAGTTCAAATAATGTAAATAATGTACATAATACCTCATCTCAGAAATATAGACAGATTTTCTGCCTTCCATGCTAAATTTCAGGAGAGTCACTCGGTGAGCCATCTCACATTTTTCGCTGACATGAATTGGAATAATGAATTGAATCAGTTGTTATGTCTGCCGCTAGGAACGTTGATTGACTGAGTTACACCAGAGAATTTTTCTAGTCAGAATCCATCTTGCACATTTATAAATGTACCATTTTTCCGTGTATTGAATATTGTTGTCACATCTGGTCTGGTTCTTCTGCTATGTATCTCGAGATTTGTGATAAAATCCAAATCTGCAATATTATCTCTCTTGATCTGGCATCTCAGTTTCAATCACTTTTCCATAATGTTGCTTCCCTGTGACTTCTATTTTCATAGCAATTACTCTGATTAGCTTTTCTCTTTGGTATCTCAACTTTATGATTATAAGTGTAGTACTAGATTGGCAGATAGGTCTCATTATTTTACTGCTGAAATTGCGAGATGTTACTGTAATTCCTATTCTAATAATTTTTACTCTTGAACTTAGAACTCTCTTCCAGCTTCTTGCTTTCCTGTCAACTTTGACCTTCAAAAATTTAAATGCAATGTCAGTTATTATCTTCTGTCTCTTTGAAAGCTGATCTTCTATTCTCCTTTCTTCTCAATAAAATTTTCTCAGTTGCTTTCCTTCTCAAAAACCCCTTGCGTCATAGTGGCTTTTTAGTATTGCTTTAGGTGAAATGATTAAAAAAAATGTTTTTAACACTGTTAACTATAATTATTTTGCACTGAAGAAGATGAAAGAAAAAACATCGAAATATGCTTAATCTTCAATGACATCACTTGTCTGTGTGGTCAGATGCCAACCATGTACAAGAGTATTTCTCTTGATTATGCCTGCCATCCTTTGGATGTACAAATTAAAAATAGCTGTACCATTTGGCCATCGTTCTGTGTATCAAGCAATCAATCTGTCTCAATTGTTTGCAGAGTCCTCAAAATGTGTCCTTCTATTTACTCTCCTCCTTTTGGTTAGACAACAAAAGGACAGTCTTGTACCACTGAAATATGACTGCCCACTCAAACAAAGATAATTGCAATAAAGCTTCCTACTTATAAGATGTACAGGTGTTACTGTTAAGTATATCAGTTTAACAATCTCTTGGTTTGTTTATATTAATTATCTCTTAAAGGATTCATCTGTCAGCACAACCATTTTGATTTCACTGTGAAGATACAGATAACAACTTAGACCATTTCTCAGTCTTGATTTTCTGTATTTATTAATGCAACAGCTGAAAACATTTTATCCAGCTTGTATAATGGCCAAAAAGTAATGTTAATTTGTGTATTCTCAATTTTGACGCTTTCTTTTGTAGCTGTTTGACTATCAAAGGAACTTCATCATTTTTTTCTTTGTTTTTTTAACTTTCCTCAGATGTATGTCATATTCAGTAAATAAGTGTACATCATATGAATCTACCTGTAAATTATTTTCAGATTGCGTGTATCTCTAATAGAACAAAATAAATAAAAAGACTAGAGGAAAAACTATTCTTAGCCGACACGTTTCGTCCTCTGAGGGACTTTGTCAATTCTTTTTATTCTTATGAATCTACGTATCTTAACACTGTAGATTCCTTAATAGATATATACAGTTCTGGCATATTACCTGGGGTTTTTATTTTTACACCTGAGAATCAGCATTGATTGATTCTCCATTGTCCTATCTGTCTCATAATTAAAGTTTGTGACAGCGAAAATAACATTCTCCTGTAGAAATACTGACACGATTACACTCTAAAACGCAATTATATAGCTAGATGTGAAATATTAACAGATCTATGGGTAGTAAGAGGAAAAAAATCTTTTGTAGCATAGTCAGCTATTTGGCAAAGTGTAGAAAGAAAGAAAGAAAGAAGAAAGATCCATAATTGGGATCACAGAATTAAATGTAATCTCCAAAATCTGTAGACTTTGCTTAGTATGTGCCTTGCCAGAGACTGCATATGGTACTTGAATTCAGAGTAGTCCTTCCTTTAGACAGGTTGCCAACCAAGGCTGAATAACCCAATCTGATCTACTATTTAACCCATAACTGGGGAGATAGAGATGGAGCCATACCTTTCTCAAGGGTATTTGTGCTTAAGTCAGTGTAATGAACTTGACTGAAACTTGAACTCGAGTCTCGGATTTCTCATTCTGAGCTGCTACCCAAAGTGTAGAAAGTGTTTAAAAGCACTTTTTACAAATTATTTATCTGGTTAAGTAGTTACTTAAAATAGATGGAGTTTATTATGAAATAATGATATTAATAAGTTCAGGATAAACAGATCACAAAATGAAATCAATTAGAGGATGTGTCGACAAGCTAGTGAGACATTTAACCCCGTACTTGCTGAATGTGCTCAGTTTTTTTCTCATTAATTAGGAGGCATCTGCCAACAAAGAGGGATGCAAAACTCAACAGCACTGAAATCAAACACTAGATCACAATGAGCAGTGCACAGACATCAACTTCCACATGGGAACATCACACTTATGGGACAAACGTAGCCAAGACATTGGAACCACAAAGATGAATGAATTTGAAACAGTGCTGAGTAAAATGAACAAAAGCCCTTGGTAACAATTGGCCATACTGTTGTGCAGTCAACACAGCATACTGCCAAGCTCTGGTCCTTCCCAGAAAATGTGCCTTCTTTTATGGAGCCTAAAGCTTTATCAGTTGGCTAGAAAAGGAATTATTTGCATAGCTAACACTGTTCAGCTCACTGCCCTGTCTGATGGGGAAGCTGGTAGACACTTTCTCTATTATAGCCAGACATTCCATGGTTTGTACCAGCTCTATTCTGGCACAGCAGTCATGTACTCTATTTTTGCAGAGACAGCACACTAAACACTTTGACCGATAGAGTGTGGGTGGGTATTGTTATCAGTTGTGATTGGCTGCTCTGTCTGCATTTCATTTCCACTGCAATAAAAGAGAAGTGGTGTGAACATCAGAGACAGTATTAGAAGATGGCAATCACAAAATCTTATAGGATTTCTCAGTCCAATCAAATCCTGTGCTTGAACCTGACATTATTGTTATACATTAGAAGAAATGCCAAATTATTGTCTTTGCTGTTCCAACAGTGGGCTCCAAAGAAACTGAAATGATAGAAAAATACCAGGATCTGGCTAGGGAGCTGAAGTATCTATGGAACATTACTGTTAAAGTAATTCCTGTAATAATGAATGTGCCTGGAACGCCACCTAGAAAATTGAAAGAGCACTTAGGTTGAATTGAAATTGAGACCAAGACTGCAGATCTCTAGAAAACTGTCATCATTTACTCTGCAAAGATTCTCCAGAAAGTTCTGAATGCCTCAAGAACAGAATTTCTCTTGACTACATCACTCTGTGATATCAACATAACAAATGAAAAATATGCTGCTGAGGTGGCCAAAGGACAGCTGGGAATTTCCTGATATATGAAAAAATATTTGTATATACTGAAGGGCAGCATTGGAATTTCATATGAGTCTACATACTTTTATATATCTGCAATTCTTACAAAGTTTAATCCATAATGTTATGGATGATTGATGGAGAATGAAGCTAAAAAGTAACTTTGTATCCTCTTATGAAATTCCCCTTAGAAGCTCTGGTGAAACCTTTACAGTAGGAGTTATTTTTCTGTTTTGAATTGTCTTTTGTATTCAATTACAGGCAAGGAAAATGAAAAACTATGGAAAACTTAAATAGTAATAATTAATCTCTCTCCCCTCTTTGGGGCATGTAGCAATTAACAAAAGATGAAACTATCAAAAGAAATCAGCACAAATAAAGCCATTCAAGATATTTAAATATTCTACAAGTTCAATATTGCATAAAGTAACCGTTCCCTATGCTGACTGAGGTTATATTTGGGAATTGTTTTCAGCTGAAGATGGCTAATTGAGCTTCAAGTGAATGGAACTTGTACAAAAGTTCATGGCAATTTTTTGTCTTTTGTCAAATATATGAAGTATCTAGTAGTGTTTAGAAAGTGTGTCTTTCTTCCAGTATCTGGCAGTCTTTGGAAAGCGTGTCTTTCTTCCGGTATGTGGCAGTCTTTAGAAAGCGTGTCTTTCTTCCAGTATGTCTTTGGCAGTCTTTAGAAAGCAGTCTTTAGAAAGTCTTTCTTCCAGTATGTGGCAGTCTTTAGAAAGCGTGTCTTTCTTCCAGTATGTGGCAGTCTTTAGAAAGCGTGTCTTTCTTCCAGTAAAGTCTTTAAAGCGTGTCTTTCTTCCAGTATGGCAGTCTTTTAGAAAGCGTGTCTTTCTTCCAGTATCTGGCAGTCTTTAGAAAGCGTGTCTTTCTTCCAGTATGTGGCAGTCTTTAGAAAGCGTGTCTTTCTTCCAGTATGTGGCAGTCTTTAGAAAGCGTGTCTTTCTTCCAGTATGTGGCAGTCTTTAGAAAGCGTGTCTTTCTTCCAGTATGTGGCAGTCTTTAGTCTTTAGAAAGCGTGTCTTTCTTCCAGTATAGAAAGCGTGTCTTTAGTATGTGGCAGCGTGTCTTTCTTCAGTATGTGGCAGTCTTTAAGCGTGTCTTTCTTCCAGTATGTGGCAGTCTTTAAGCGTGTCTTTCTTCAGTATGTGGCAGTCTTTAGAAAGCGTGTCTTTCTTCCAGTATGAAAGCGTGTCTTTCTTGATCTTTAGAAAGCGTGTCTTTCTTTAGAAAGCGTGTCTTTCTTCCAGTATGTGTGATCTTTAGAAAGCGTGTCTTTCTTCCAGTATGTAACAGTCTTTAAGCGTGTCTTTTTCCAGTATTCATCTTTTTAAGCGTGTCTTTCTTCCAGTATGTGGCAGTCTTTAGCGTGTCTTTCTTCCAGTATGGCAGTCTTTAGAAAGCGTGTCTTTCTTCAGTATATGGCAGTCTTTAGAAAGCGTGTCTTTCTTCCAGTATGTGGCAGTCTTTAGAAAAGCGTGTCTTTCTTCCAGTATGTGTCAGTCTTTCCAGTAAAGCGTGTCTTAGAAAGCGTGTCTTTCTTCCAGTATGTGGCAGTCTTTAAGCGTGTCTTTCTTCCAGTATGTGGCAGTCTTTAGAAAGCGTGTCTTTCTTCCAGTATGTAGCAGTCTTTAGAGCGTGTCTTTCTTCAGTATGTGGCAGTCTTTAGAAAGCGTGTCTTTCTTCCAGTATGTGGCAGTCTTTAAGCGTGTCTTTCTTCCAGTATGTGGCAGTCTTTTTATGGCAGTCTTTAGAAGCGTGTCTTTCTTCCAGTATGTGGCAGTCTTTAGAAAGCGTGTCTTTCTTCCAGTATCTTGGCAGTCTTTAGAAAGCGTGTCTTTCTTCCAGTATCTGGCAGTCTTTAGAAAGCGTGTCTTTCTTCCAGTATCTGCAGTCAGTCTTTTTCCAGTATCTGGCAGTCTTTAAGCGTGTCTTTCTTCCAGTATCTGGCAGTCTTTAGAAAGAGTGTCTTTCTTCCAGTATGTGGCTGTGGCTTACTTGTGGCTTCCTTCTTTTTACTTTATTGATGTTTGCTTGCTTCTGTAATGCACAATCTGTTTTTACTTGCTATATATATATATATATATATGTGTGTGTGGGTATAGTTGGAATCTAATATAGATCAAATATAAATCTGACATAAGAAATAAGATAAGAACAAATTAGAAACATTTATCAATCTAACATTTCACTTGTATTAAATTTTCTGATGATATATAAAAGTGAAACATATTCAAATAGTTAACATTTCCTCTTTGTTTATTTTATCATATATATAATATATTCATATTGTGATTTTGAATGGATAAAATGGCTAAAGAGTAACAAGCAGGAGAGAAAGAAGGGTGAGGCATGAAAGATTTATCATTTTAGAAAATCCATTTGACTTAAGAAAATATGACTATTTGTTGTTGAGAAATAAGATCTTTTTTTTTTTTTGCTATTAGACAAATAATTTATCTTGTATTCTTTAATTTATAAGTTTTTTATGATAAGAGGATGGCACTTGCATTCTGTTGTAATATAAGAAAGAGACCAATGTTGAATTTTCTTTTCTTTTTCAGTCATTTTTCATCTTCAATATTCATTGAGACAGAATCACTCTTTTACTTTTTTCTTTGTGTCTCCATAGCCAGAGTGAGTGTATTTAATTATGAAGAACTCTGCTCTTCCTTTTTTTTCAATTTTCTTTAGTGGATATATTTAATTTGGTTTTTGTGACAGTATGTTGGAGCAAAATCACTTTTTTTCTCTAGTTTTTGAAAATGGAAGATATTTTTCAAATGATTAAGAATCTTGGATATTGGAGTAATGATAAGTGTCAACTGAGTTAACAGGATTAAAACCAGTTAAGGCAACTGATTTAAATTTTCTGTTGTTCTCACTAGAAATCCCGCTGTGCAGGTTGGGTATTTGTTTGATGCGATTTTATTAGTAATTTGGGGGTAGATGACCATTTTATTCAAGATTCTTCTGATAATCTAAGTTTTGTATTCAGCCTCTGTCTTGTACATCGTCTGTACATAATTGGAGAAAAATTATTACCTCCTCCTTCAAGCTATAGGTTAAATAGTAATCTATAATATAAATGCTCTGCCATTGTAGTCTTGGGGTCTTTTTATGTTCAGTGTGCGATTTTAAGTATAATCTTTCAGTAGTTACTTAATTCTATGTTATATATATGAGAGAATATTAAAAAGAATGTTATCTTTCATCTGTACCCTCCAGCTATGGGTTAAATAGTAGGACCTGTAGTGTCAAACATCTTTTAATGCAATATTCACTCAGTATCTGTCTATATTTCTGAGATGAAGTATTATGTAAAAAGTGTACAATATTCACTCATACAAAAAATTATTCTTACAGTCCAAAATATGTTTCAGCATTTAATAAACTACATAGGGTTGATAATCCATAAAAAACAAACCAATCCATCAATGTAACATTCTGAGACAAAGCTTTGTCATTATTCCATAAAGTCTTCTAATGAGTATCCTTGTCTTTGTTGTTTTGGGCTGCTATTTCTTTGGCCTTTCTTATATGTTGATTGCATCCAGTAATCTGTCTTATCTAGGTTTTTTGGGTTTTTTTTTTTTAATTCTTTTTCCATTGAAATATTTCCTTGATCTCTATGTAAAGACTTTCTGCGGACACTGAAAATCCGACTATAGAAAATGAGAAAACATCTAACATGGTTTTGCGGAGTATGTATGAGAAATTTTACCTACCAGTTAGAATCAACAATAGGTGTTTAAAAAAACAAACAAAAATATTCTAGACAGTATTAAAGAAACAGATGATTGACTAAACACCTGGTGAAGGCCAAAGAACATATTGGCTGAAATGTACTGTGTTCAAAATGAAATGAGGATATTCTTCTATGTGCCATGCCTCTTTAGGATGTTGCCAATCATGGCTCTCCACAACTTTCTATTTTGTATCTCCTAGCTCTGTAGAACCTTATTTTTCTTGCCTCAAATCTCTTCTTCATCTGTGAAGAGATTGTCCAACATTCATTGCCATATAGGAGAATTGACATTACATAGCAGTTCAGCACTCTTTTCTTTGTTTCTAATGAAATTTTCCTGTTTCTTAATATTTTGCTTAGCTTTTGCAGATATATTTTGCTATGGCTCTAATGGATTACGGGACTTGTTTACTGATGTTTGAGGACATTTATTGAGTAACTGAATTTTCATGATTAATTTTTTGAGTTTGATTTCAAGAAATTCTTTGTTTCCCATTTTCCAGTCTCAAATTAATTGGTAAATTCCCAAATATTAAATCTTCAAAAGTCTCAACTGTATACAATGTCTATGAATAGCTTTTGGTCTTCATGATTCTTGGCTATATTAAAGGCTTAAACTGCATTCAATCACATTAACGCTTTCATGGCACTTGGTTGCACTGAGGTAGTTGGTCTTTTTTGGGGGCAGTCAGTTCCATCGAGGCATTGAAGACACTGGATCACATCAAAAAATTGGGAAAGCTTGGCCGCATGGAGAGGCATTGGAGACGCTTAGTCAGAGTGAAACTTTTGGGGTACTCATGTATGTCAAGGCTATCACTGTACGTCAATTAAACTGTATCAAAAATCACTTCATTTTTCATTCCCTAGAGAACTTTCAGCTTTAGAGTGAAAGGCAAACATAGAATTTTGTGCCTGCCAAAAAAAAACCCCCAAAAAAGTGTTAAAAGGACAGCTTTTCCCATGATACCACTTTTATTTTAGCTGCCTTCACTCATTGTCAATGTTTACTGTTTTAAAAAGCAGTGATTAAAATTGTACAACAAAAATATTAATGACTACTTATTTCTTAGATTATTTATTTACAAGAATAATTTTATATTTACAACATGCTAAAATCTAATACAATTGTATTAAAAAACTAATGCAATGCCAATATTTGTCATTTAAAAATTATAAATAAATGAATATAAAAATTTTTATCGATAAATTTATAAACATTTAATAAATTATTAAGTTGCGAATGAACTATATGTAAATTCTTAATATTTACCATTTTTATAAAGTTTGAATCAATTGTCAATTAGACAATGTTTTGCTAACCATTCCAATAAACAATAAAATAGTGTAAATAAACGATCTGTTATATAGGAATAAAGTGTCGCTGTCAACACTGGAGTTTGAACACAGATCACTAGAGAATAAACACAGTCAATCCCTTTTTGAATAAGTAGATCACGTGATGGTAAAGGAAATATATATATATATATATGTGAATTAGCATGGCGTCTAATTGATCACTATATGGATTATTATTCGGCAGTTAGTTTTTGAGTTATTTTTATCAAGTAAGTACTATTAGTGCAAGTGTTACACAAAAGCGTCTGACACCAGTATTGCTCAACAGTGTTACTATAGTTGCATCTGGGATTACAAAGTCTCTACTACAATGAGCATTACAAAAATGGCAATGAGTGTCCATTGACATCACAAAACAATCTAATAATTAAATAGTGTTTATTATTTTTGCAGGTTACTTGAATCCAAAATTTAAATTTAGAAATTTTTTTTGAGATAATAACAATTTACTGATACAAGTCTTACTAATTAACCCATAGCTGGGGGTGGGAGAAGAGGTTACTTCATACCTTTCTCAAAAGCTTTTGTGTCTTAGTGAATATAATAAACCTGACTGGAATGCAAACTTGGCTCACTGACTTCCAGTTCCGAACCGTTATCCATTACACCACCTGCACGTTGAAAAGCTTACAACCCTGATATCCCCAAGCGGTCAACCCATCTAGGTTATGACCAGGCTCAATTCTCAAGAACAATGTATAGACTCATTTTCATATGTTTAGGTTTTATTACAATTCTAATCATCTCTTTTTTAAAGAATAAGCATTGCTGAGGAGTGAAGGTAGTTATAATAATAGGGGATGTCATGGGAAAGCCCATACTTTTGACACTCTGTTTTTTGTGGGCTTGAATGTCCATGTTTGCTGAATGAGGCATCCAAATTAACAATGCTTTCAAAGGAGCATTTTAAGCTTACTTTACTTCCAGTTTTTTCTTCAGAGCATCCTGGGTATAACGATAAACTACATCCAACAGCAAGGCTTTTAACCAGGAGGTTTTGAGGTGTGTGGAACCACCTCTTAATTGCTGGTGTTCCCAGGTCCACCCTGACCCGGGTGGTAGCACCTGTTAGGGTCCCAGCTATGGGCAAATAGTTAACCCTGAAACTGAGGTAAAAAGCATTATGAAAATGTAAAAATAGGTTTTAATACTGGAAATACTTTGTAAAAAATTATTACCAACAATAAATCTTTGAAGAAAAATTATTACCAGCAATACATTTTTGAAAAAAAAAAAAATTACTAGTAATAAAAATCTTGTTGGCATTAAATAACTCACTGAGGTTGATGTGCAGTAAAACAAATCCAACGAAACCAAACTTTTCTTCAGAAATTGGCATATGGAATGATTTGCATACAAAATGGCAGAAATAGAGACTAATAAGATTGAATGCTTTTTTTTTTATTGTGAATCAGTTTTTTTTTTGTTTTTTTTTTGCAGAATAAATTTAGGAATCTTTCTGCTTATTTTCAAGATGTTTTAAACATATTTATAGGTTTATGTATTTTATATTAATTTTCTTTCCATTGCATTAAAATGATGATTTCTTTTCTTGTAGGTTTGTCAACACCCACATGCAGCCATGAGAAGCTGGGGTGCTGAGGCAACTACATCCCTAGTGAAAGCTGCTCTTAGTCACACCTATGACCCACCATTGCATGTCAACTTGGTAAGTATCTCTGAATACCTATCTCATCTTAACAAAAGTAGAAATTATTGCACTTCCCCCCCCAATAATTATCAGGTCATTTTACACCTGTTCATTGTAAGTAACTACAATTTACCAGTGAATATAGTTAAGCATTATAGATGCAGCATAGTCAGCAGCAGGCAGGATAGAAAAATAGTAGGTTTGATGTTGCAAGTTCTAGACTTGGGATTGTCCTACACGACTGTGGCTTAGTGGAATAAACGATAGGTTCATGAATTTGGTACTAAAGTTAAGTAGTGTCGAGCCCAGTCAGTACTGAAACCATTTAGGGACACTGGATACTGTAAGGAATCTCTTCCAATCTGAAATATGTCTCAGCTTTAAATAACCAACAAAGGGTTGATAAACTATAAAAACAGAATCAAAAAACAATCATGAATTTGGTGTTATAGTAATTGTAAGTTCGATCCCTGTGCAGACTTACAAATCAGTGGGAAATGAGCAATAATGAAAAATATAAGATACCTCTATAGATGGACAGCGGATTGAGAACATTTGTATATTAAATAATAAATAAAGATGAAGGGATCAATTTAAACGTGTTTTATGCATGGCATATGACTGACTGAATCTTTAGAATTGCTTTATAGCACAATAAAACAAAGGGAAATTGTTATAAGTTTTTCATTTTTGTTTTAACATTTTCCTGCACGCCCTCCCCTTCTTCTATTTAAGTTCTGTCTGTACAGCAGAAAAATGGAAAATGATTATTAGAAGTCTAACCCTTTCTTGTCCTCAAGGAAACAGAGTTGTAATAATTAGATGAACAGTAATCATATTAGGAATGGTGTTAAAGAAAGAGTTGTCCTTAGATGTATTTTTGTAGGCATAAAATTGCAATGTAAGGCATGCGTTAAATTCTGGCCACAGAAACAAGAAAAAAAGAGGTGGAATAAAGTGTCTCTTAGTTTTGCAGAATTTTTTTTTTTTCTTCCCCATTTAAGATAATTGGACTTTGTGGCAAGAACGGAATTGTCCATATTTCAAATGTTGGCACCATGAATTCTTCTTTTGGCTTATTAAACACCTGTTTTGTCAAGGTTTTCATGTTTTTATGGTATTAGAAAGTATGCATGATTTCTTGTCTTTTTAACTTGTCGAGTTTTCTGAAGTAGGTATTCAGTTAATTTATTGCCAGAAAATTTAGTGGAAAGATTTATTAAATATATCAAAATGATTATTCACTTGACTAATAAGATATATAATGAAGAATTTATTAAGCAAGTATGTGACGTCGTCCCCCGGTCGCAGCGCCGACTGTGACGTTCTATCCTGATCTACCACGACACCAGTTGTGACGTCCCTAAACAGCACCAGTTGTGATGTCTTTGCCACGGCGTCAGCTGTTTGCTCCTCGCCGCTCCATCCAGGTGTTGCTGCTCCAAACGTGACGTTCTAACCCTTTGGTGATTCGGGTAGGAATCTGGTTAGATTGATACCAGCCTTGCCGTTCCCAACCTGCTTCCAACGCCTGGTTACCAGGGTAACTGCACTGATCTCCAGTCTGCCTACCCACGTTGTGAATTGATCTTAGACAGATGTCAAGCGGAAATCGGTCAACGCTTGTTCGTAGGTGACCTAGATATTTTCGACATCTGATATCTCTCAACAATAACCTTTTTCCTCCACCTTTCCGTCTCTTAAGCCATGTGTGTGTGTGTTCGCCTATGACCCGTCTCGTATTACTTTTTCTTTCTTTCTTCTTCGTTTTCTCTTTCTTTCTCCCAAATTGCTTGAATGCAAAGAAAGAATTATTCTTAAAAACTAAAATATTTTTCGGCCTTAAATAATCCTCAAATGGTTGATAAACCGTAAAAAAGCAAATCATATATCTATAAATATTTCTTTCAAATCGTCAGGATGCATGGTGCCACAAGTACATGAAAACCTTAAATCACCCTCATGCAAGGGTTCACAACGAGGAGAAAATCTCTTTCTAGGGAAGAATTTCAGGATTTTAGTGAGTGGGAGGGAAAAACCTTGAACTTTTTCTATTTTTTTTTTATTTTCAGAATTTTTTTTACTAAATTACAACACCCTGGCATTCCATTCAATTTTTTGTTTATTGAAATCTGCATCAGTTTATTTATTTAATAATTAATTATGATATTAAAACAAATAACTGTACATCAATTCATGTTTAAAAATCCAATATTTTCTATTACTATTAAATTTGTAAAACATCTCTATAAAAATAATCCATGTAAATGACTATATACTAATATTGAAAAGAATGAAAATTTTCAATAATATATGCATGTTATTTGGAAGGCATTTTTTAAGTCGGACTCTCTTGGAAAGTGTGGTAGGGATGACATATTGACTTATGGTGAAAAGGGTTCACTGGGCAAAAATGACTGAGAGCCACTGCCTTAATGATTACTGATATAAGAAATTAGGACAAGGCTTGAACCCTAATGATTACATAGGAAGGGACATTTAAAAAGTCTTAACCCGACCCAATTCTTGAAATTTAACCAAACATTTAACTGATTTTTTTTTCCTTTTTTTCTGCTTTGGTGACAATTGGAAAGGGATTAACATTTGAGTTTGTGCCCCAACGTTTTTAACAAGAGTGTCCCTCTCTCTTGCATCCACCATTGATAAACAAGGAAAGACAAAGTGTTTTTAATAGACAGATCACACACACAAATATATGTACACTACAGTATAAAAGTTTTAGGCCACTCCTGGTAATTTTTTAAATTGTCCCCCAAAATAGTTGTTTTGTACTTTAAATAAGAGAAAATTATACATGGTTAAAAAAAAAAGTGAGATATGATTTTTTATTAGAAATTTTATTATGACAAAAAGAAGAAAAAAAAAGGATTTCATGATTAAGTTTTACTCTTGTCAAAATGTCCTCCTTTAGCCTTGATTACTGCAGCACAAATTTTTGGCATTTCTTGCAAAAGTTTCTCAAAGTATAAGTTTGATAATTGATTCCATTCTTTTTTCAATGACTCTCAGAGCTCTTTTTCATTTTTTTTTCTCTCTTCTGTCAAGTTCACCTCATGCTAATTCTGGGGATGGCTTCAAACATTTTAACTGTAGTGTATATTGTATCAAAAAAAAAACAACAAGTGTAATTTTCACAAGAAGTAAAACTGAAAATGTAATCTTAAGAAAACATTCATTATCTGATGTAATGGAATAACCTGTCACCCCCATGAGTGACTACACTGTAGGTAGTAACTTCCTATAAGTATCTGTAAGTCAACAGACTACAGAGACTAGCTGCAATCTGTTGAGTAAGACTTACGCAAGAACTACCAACCTTCCAATAGTAGCACTCACTATTAGATTGACTTGCGGCAATTCTGTGCATACATGTTACCTTTATTCTTATTGTACTGTTTTTTACAATAAACCTTTACTTATTTTATCCACCTTGTTTTTCAAGGACATATTCCTATTAGCACGGAATATAACATTAATATTTAAAATTCTATATTGTGTTAATAGGACTCGCTTGGATTATACCAACAGATTACTATCTGTGTGTATATATATATATAATTAAGTTACGAAAAACTTGGTAATGTGCATGGGTAGTCCCAAGGAGGATGAAATCCTGAGAGCTCAATGTAAATTCAGAGCTAATAATTTAAAGAAAAACAGACCACTTTAAGGCTCCTTTAAAGTGGTTTTTTTTTTTTTTTCTTTATATATATATAATAATTCATTATTATTATTTTATTATTATTATTATTATTATTATTATAATAATAATATTATGTTAATAATAATAATTCATTATTATATTTTAATAATAATAATATAATAATAATTATATTATAATAATAATAATATTATGTTAATAATATTAATTCATTATTATATTTTAATAATAATATAATAATAATATTATGTTAATAATAATTCATTATTATTATATTAAAACAATAATATAATAATAATATGTTAATAATAATAATAATAATTCATTATTAAAGAATAAATACTCATTCTTCAGTAAAAAAAAATATCTGACAATATGTATAGCTCTCAAGAGCTATTTTGCACACAGAGTGAATGTCTCTGCTGAATGTTTGTTTCTAAAATAGATTATACAGGGTGTGGCAGAAATACCTCCCACATATATCATCCATAAAATACCTTCCACATAATGGTAACACATTAGTGGCAATCTAGCTAATGTAGTGGTTCTCAACTTTTTTTTTTTACCCATGGACCTTTTTTTTTTTTTTTTTTTTTTTGGTGGATCTTCATAAGCAATCCATTAAAAATAAAAAAGCTTATTTTATTTTTTATTAAAAGATAAATTTAGGAATTATAGAAATCGTAAATGTATAAGCTTTTTTAAGTGAAACTAATTTAATGAAAATAAACTTGTATTTAACAACTAGTAAAATAACTCATAATTAACCATTTTAAAATATGTGAAGTGAATTGCTTGTGGCAAGTTGATTTATATATTGGCCCTCAAAGGGTTTTGCTAGAAATTACCCCTGCTGCTGAAGAGGTTAATACTGTTAATCCTTTCCTTTATATATAATCCTTATATAATTTATATATTAACCTTTAACACACTGCATTATTCACTACATTGTTTTTCAAGGCTACTTAATTTCAGTCATGGTCATTTTCTGTTGCCATAGCAGGATATGACAACACAACTTCAAAATTCAAACATGCTATTATTCATTCATTCATCTGAGTCACTTGCAGTGGAAGGATAAAATTTTTGCTTTGCAAACAAATTGACATCCAGAATGTTAAAAATTTTAAATTAATTTTATTATTAATATTTTATTTTTTTAATATTTTATATTATTTAATTTATATTAATATTTTATTTAATTAATATTTAAAATTAATATTATTATTATTAGTATATCAAATTAATTTCTGTGATAAATTATAATCTTTATATAATTTTCCTTTATACAGTAGCAAGCATAAAGATCAGAACGATGTTAAGAAAAAAGTCTAAA